AAGAAACCCGGGATGAGTTGCACAAAAAAAAAAAAAAAAAACAAAGAAAAACAACAAACACATGAGAGCGTGAGTAACCACGACTGCCATCACTGTCGGCGCCGGAAGTCATGCAGTAATTAAAAATCATACAAATTGAGGATAATAACAACTAACAATGATGAATAGTGAAAAGTTCATATTACTGGTAAATTACATGAAAATGGGGTGTATTGGTTGTGCAAAAATGTGATGTGATAAAGTAAATCCGAGATCTGATTTGGATTCAGCACCCCTAAATTAATCTATAACATCTATAAATTTCCGTGCCAGAAAATTTTTGTTTTTTTGTTCATCAGTGTAATTAAAATTGTTAAACCAAAAAAATAATCATTGGAATCGTAGTGAGGTTACAAATTAGCAAATGCGGCAATTTCATATCAGCCAAAATTAGAACAGTAAATAAATTTTTTAACAAATTCAATACAGTTCAATTTTATTAGTATATCAACAATCATCTTAAAACATTTTATATAGTGAGGTCTAGACCTTATATTATTATAATGAAAACCCAACAAATCCCCCTTGAGGAACACTGGGGAGGAAAAACTCCCTTTAACAGAAGAAACCTCCAACACACCCCGGCTCTGGGTGGGCAGCCTTTTGCCTCGACTGGTTGGGGTGAGTGGATAGAGGAGAGAGAACAGAAAGAAAAGCATCAAGACAAAACAAACAAACAGTGGACCAGTCATTGTGGCTGGTGACTGTTCATCAAGAATGTTCAGCTTTGGATGAACATGAGTTAGGTCATGTAATGGTGGTATACAGAAATAAGATGGAGAGAGGAGCAGAGCATCATGGGAGGATCCCCATTGTAGGCCTATGTAAAATGTCCTAAGCTGAGTGTTGTTATATAAATTAAATTGAACTATATTGAAGTTAAAAATTTTATTTACTGTTCTAATTTTGGCTGATATGAAATTGCCGCATTTGCTAATTTGTAACTTTTTACTCAAGAATAAAAGGGAAGTTGCTGTTATCACATTTTTAAGTTCATGCATCAGTGTGCAAATGAGCCATTACTTGAAGATCTCTTTGATTTTCTAGCCTTTTAAGTTCTTGCTTTTGTGCAGCAATTGCCTCTTCCATTTTCATTTCAACCTCCTTTGCGGCTAACTGTGCAGCACACTCTGCTCTTTTTGCTGTGATGCTTTGCTGGTCCAATGAACAGACTGAGCGATGGCTACGAGCAGTAAGTCTGGAGATTGTTGTCCCAAACACTGACTGGGCGTACTCTCTGTCAAGCACCATATGAAGTCTTGCATTTTCTGCTTTAGCATCAAACTCTTCTAGTCCCACTTCACTCATGCGCACTTTCATTAAGCTCATCAAATCTGCCGTTACTGCTGTGCAGGAGTCAATTTTTCTTCTAATCTCTGTGGAGGGTGCTGATTGAGATCGTATATTTTCATACGCACCTCTCACTTGTACCTCCAGCCCTTCCACCACATCCATCATTTCACCCAAGTCTTGGTCAGAACACTCATCCTTAAGTCTGATACGTGTGGCTCTAATTTGTTCTTTCCAGCTTCCATATAGCCTGAAAAATTTACTCTCCTTCTGAGAAGCCTCTTGTTCCTTCAGCTCCTGCATTTTTCGGGTTAACTTTCTCTCCCGTGAAGATTTCCTGGGTTCAGCTCTACTCATCAGTGACCTGTTCCCTGTGTCCATCTGTTCCTCCAGAGCTGCCTCAGCAAGATGTCTGTAAGGAGGAGGAGGTTCTGGCTGACCATCAGCTCTGTGACCAGGAGAGGAACTCCAGTCTGGACCAAGAGGACCCAGAGCCTCCAGAGAATAAAGAGGAACAGGAGGAACTCTGTAGCATTCAGGAGGGAGAGCAGCTTGGACTGAAGCAAGAGACCAATCCCTTTATGTTGACTCCTACTTATGAGGACAGTGACCACAGTAAACCAGAACCAGACAGTGACCAGCAGCTCCTCTCTCACAGCTCTCCTGTAGCTGAGAGCCAGGATCAGAGAGGAAACCAGCATGTAGACTCAGGATCAACCAGTCACAGTAGCAATGTGGACAACTCTCCCATGTCACAGACTGACTCTGATCCTACCACAGGTAACAAGTCCTTCAAATGTGACACTTGTGGGAAAGAATTTAAGTGCAAGTCGAATTTGAACCGACATTTGAGAATCCACACAGGTGAGATGCCATATGTTTGCAACTTATGTGGGAAAGGATTCAGGCGTAGCTCATATTTGACTAGACACTTAAGTATCCACACAGGTGGGAAACCATATGTTTGCAAAACATGTGGGATAGGATTCAGGCGTAGCTCATATTTGACTAGACACTTAAGCATCCACACAGGTGAGAAACCATATGTTTGCAACACCTGTGGGAAAGGATTCAGGTGTAGCGCATATTTGACTAGACACTTAATTATCCACACAAGTGAGAAACCATATGTTTGCAACACCTGTGGGAAAGGATTCAGGCGTAGTGCATATTTGACTAGCCACTTAAGTGTCCACACAGGTGAGAAACCATATGTTTGCAGCTCCTGTGGGAAGAGTTTCAGACAAAAAGGTAACTTGCATGAGCACATGAACATCCACACTGGTGAGAAGCCATATTCCTGTAAAACATGTGGGAAAGGATTCAGTCAGAGCTCAACCTTGACTGCTCATTTAAGAATCCACACAGGTGAAAGGCCGTTTCCTTGCAGCATTTGTGGGAAACGTTTCACATTCAGCAGCACATTGTGGGTCCACATGAAAATCCACACAGGTATGAAGCCGCATGTTTGCAACATCTGTAGGAAAGGATTCAGATGGAGGTCAACCTTGTCTGCCCATTTAAGAACCCACACAGGTGAAAGGCTGTTTCCTTGCAGCACTTGTGGAAAAAGTTTCACACAGAGCGGGGCCTTGCGGGTCCACATGAAGGTCCACACAGGTGAGAAGTAGGGTAGCAACAGTGTGAGATTTTCCCAGTATGATAACTGTCCTAGAAAATATTGTGGTTTCACAGTATCATCATATAACATGTTACACCATTAATATTATTAAAGTAATTGAAACAGAATTGTTTCTTAAATAAATTGCAAACAGAGTCAGAAGTTAACACCCACCAGGAGCCTAAAACTGGTAGATTTTCCATTTAGTGAGTAAAGAAGACCACCTGCCACACTGGTGGGCAAATGTTTGTAGCAAAATAGTCATGGACTAAAACTGTATCCTGCCCTGCTTCTGTCTGTGTCAGAGTCTGAGACACACACCCATGTGTGTGAAGACTTGCTCCTGCTCTGCCTCTGGTTGACTTTATAGTTTGCATGTTAGCATCAGTAGTGGAGGAAATATTCAGATCCTTTATTTAAAGCTACTGAATGCAACTTGTTCAAATATTTTTTTGCTGTAGAAATCTGCTCTGAAACTTGTCCTGATGTAGAGAGGTGCTGTTGAAGCCTGTCTACACACTATTTTTAAGGTAGTCTAGTGCTGAAGTTATTGTTCAAAAACCTTTTGTTTACATCCGTGTTTGCTACTTCTTTGCTGTGTTTCTTAGAACATTATCACTAACCATTGATTAGTAGATGATGATTAACGTTGGGCAGCACGGTGGCACAGTGGTTGGCGCCGTTGCCTCACAGCGAGAAGGTTCCAGGTTCGGGCCCCACCTGGGACCTTTCTGTGTGGAGTTTGCATGTTCTCCCCGTGCTT